GGGCCAGGCCTGCTACACTCTTTGCTATCTGATATAGTCTCCCCTGTGCGCAAATGTACCCGTTTACCATTACATTGGAGGGGTACTCAGTCATCGCTGTATTTAATCTTACAATACTCTGTGAGGTAAAGTGTTGGTACCCCCTTTTTACAGATAGAGAGGCCAAGCACAGAAGGGCCAAGTGCTCAGGTCCCTTGTCTTATAAGAAGTCTGCAGTAGTACTGGCAGTTAAAAAGGTATTTCATGTATCCCAGCTTAGCACCCTAACCACTGGGTGCTAGCTCACAAATTCTGTTTTGGGATGATATTCCTAGAGGCCCCTTCACTGGTGTTAAAATTCTTAACCCAGTAAGATATGCTTGGCAGTTCTGACATGTATACTGCTGTTGCAGACTTTCTCAAATCCAGGCAGATCCTGCTGCCTTGATAATGTTCCAGCCACATTTACTTGCAACCGTGAAGGCTAGAAACATACTTTGAGTAAAAGCTAAGATTCTCTAGTCTTTGTGGACATTTATACGCATACTTTTCTGTCCCGTGACACACCAGAGATCCGCTGTTTCAGAGCAGTCTTCATTAACTGAGTCTGCGCCACACATGAGCTGAGGCAAACTGTGTTGTGCCATGTGCAGTTGTATAAGCGGCGAAATGCACATCGGTGCACAGAAAATGGTGGCAGCGCACTTTTGAAATAAAGCACCTCTGTGTTTTAGTCAAAAGCACACCACTGCCATTTTCTCAGTGCTGACACACATTTCACCACTTATACAACTGCAAGTGTCACAGTGCTGGGGTGCTTTTATGTATAAAAATGCCTTCTATCCTTCTAAAGGAGTTTGAGATGCCACAAGATGCATGCCAGGAACCAAAAAAATGTTCCCCGTGTTGGATATTTGCAGTGCAGGCTCAAAATATCCAGGTATCAAAATAAGACACAGAAGAAAAAAGCAGTCTCTGAAAAAAGCAGGGCAGGGCTGAGTTCCGCTGCGCACTTTCTCCCCTCCCACACTGTGGGTCCAGTAGCACTGACGCTAGAGGCAGGACCCAGCCAAGCATGACACCCAGTCCCTGCAAGTGGTGCAGGGCCCTGGGTGACAGCCTGAGTGGCCCAGGGCTGCCTTAAGGTGCATAACACCAGGCCAGGCTGGGCCCACGCAATGTGAGATCTGTGTCGTCTTGGTAAGAAGTGGCTAGTGGTGTCCCTCTGGTGCCGGTGCTTGGTCCAGGGTTTTTTAACATCTTCATCAATGGTTTGGATGTGGGGGTGAAGAACTCACTGGCCAAGTTCGTGGACAACACCAAGTTATGGCGAAGCATGATCATTTTTGAAGATAGGCTGCAGATACAGGCGGACTTAGACAGGCTGGCAAGTTGTGCGGATCGGAACCAGGTAAGGTTTAATATCCAGAAATGTAAAGTGCTCCACCTGGGGACGAACAATCCCATGCACACTTAGAGGCTTGGCAATGCACCACTCTGACCAGCACTATGAGTGAAAGAGACCTGGGGGTAATAATTGACCACAGTATAAACATGAGCTGGCAGTGCGATGCTGTAGCTAGCAGGGCAAAAAATACTCTGGCATGCATCAATCAGTGCATCTCCAGCAAAAACAGGGAAGTCATTCTTCTGCTCTGCTCAGCATTTGAGAGACCAGAAATGGAGTACTGTGTCCAGTTCTGGGCACTGCACTTCAACAAGGACATGGAAAAGCTCAAGAGTCTGGAGAAGGGCCACCCATATGATTAGAGATTTGCGCAGCAAGCCATATGCAGTAAGGCTGAGGGACCTGGGACACTTCAGTCTGAACAAAAGAAGGCTAAGAGAGGACTTGGTAGCAGCTTACCACTACATCAAGGGCTCAGTGAACAACTGTTCACCAGGACACCCTTGGGGAAAGTAGGAGTAGTTGTCACAAACTCCTGGAAGACCATTTCAGGCTCAACATTAGGAAAAACTTCACAGCGAGGGTGTCCAGACCGGAATAAACTCCCTCCAGAGGTGATGCAATTGCCTACCCTAGTGATCTTTAAGAGGAGACCGGATGGTCATCTTGCTGGGGTCACTTGACCCCAGTTCTCTTTCCTGCTTGGTGCAGGGGGGCTGGACCCAATGATCTTCCGAGGTCCCTTCCAGCCTATATTCTATGAATCTATGAATGTGGCACAGGCAGCACTGGGTGCCAGGCCACTGGGGCTGAGCCGCGCTGCCCTGCACTGCACAGGGGGGGCTGTACCAGGAGGCCCTGAACACCCTGACGGCTGCTGCTGCTCCCGGTGAGCTGTGGGCCATGTAAGGGGGTTGGGGCCATAGCAGGGGAAGCTTTGGGTCCTGCAGGGGAGGGTCCTGGCTTGGTGGGAGGGGAAGCTATGGGCCCTGCAAGGGGGACTGGCCCTTCAGGAGAGGGTAGTCCATGTGTTCTGTAGGGGGGGCCATGTCCTGTTGGGGCAGAGACCCACCTCTCCTGAGCAGTCCCCCCCACAATCCCTCACACCTACTTGCACACCCCAGGCACCCCACATTCCCCCCCACCCCTTCCCACACCCGTCCTGCAAACCCCACATCCCCTGCTTTACACCCATTATGCCCAGCTGCCAGACAGGATCAGACCTGCTGGGAGGAGCTGTGGTTACAGGGGCAGCTGTCCCCTCATCCTTGTTAGTGAAGGGGTTGGGGGAGCTCTAACTGTTCTATGATGAACAAAAGCAAACATCAAAACATTTAGAGTGTATTTTGTTATGATGACAGAGACACTGATAGGCTTCCAAATTGCTTTAAAATTGTACATGTATCAATAAAACATTGCCCACCTGAGTGGTCCCCCTGCCTCTCTTTCATATATAGTTGTCTTTTGTTTTAATTGTGGAAGAATGGGATTTTGCAGGGGGACACCAGAATTCCTGCTAGTGAAACAAGTGGCAGGACCCAGGCAGAGAGGCCTGCTCAGTGCTGGCACCTGGAACCCAGCTGGAGGTGGCTGACCTCCTGGCCACTTGGGGCCAGGAAGACATGCTTTGACAGTTCAAAGAAGGCCACCACACTGAGAACATCTTCCAGGCAATAGCTGCCTAGATGGCAGAGCGGCGGCACACATGGCAGTAGTGCCACACAAAGGCCAACTGTGCAGCCAGTGGCATCTGTCCGAGAGGTACAGATGGCTCTGCTGT